CTTCCTCTTTATAAAATCCCTTTTTTTCACATAAGTTTAGCTTTGCTCCAGAATCATTTGTAAATATTGAAATGCAGTGGCCGGGGTAAAAGGAAGGACGCTAGTTAAAGAGTGAGTAGGAAGAGGTCAACACACAAAGGCACAGTATTTGATGGAGGCATTTTCTTTCTCCTTTCCTCCTGGAGGCTGGCTAAAGAAGAACCCCTAAAGTTTGACATCAGGTTGCCTGGAGTAATGCTTTCCAATGTTTCAAGGTATGGGAGGGAGATCTTTTGATAGAGGCAGAAATAGAATATCAGGGACCAGTATAGTTGTAAGAAGTATTAATCATTCTCTGTGAACCGTGATTATTTTGTTCTGAGTAAAGAAGGCACATGCTAATCTGGCTGGGAGGTGCATGTGGGAAATGGGAGCTCACCTGGAAATGTGGCCCATCCTGTCCATCTGGGAATTGCCTATTTTTTTAAATTTTATTTTATTGTTTTTGTACAGAGAGGAAGGGAGAGAGATAGTTAGAAACATCGATGAGAGAGAGTCATCGATCAGCTGCCTCTTGCACACCCCCTACTGGGGATATGCCCGCAACCAAGGTACATGCCCTTGACCGGAATTGAACCCGGGACCCTTCAGTCCCTAAGCCGATGCTCTATCCATTGAGCCAAACCGGTCCCGGCTGGGAGTTGCCTATTATCATGGAAAGATTAACAACCTTGTTGCAGAAACCAGAGCTTTGAAAGCCCCCAGCCCTTTTCATACTTACAGGCCTTTGCAAATCTCCAGCCCCCATACTTACAGCCCCCATTTGGCATTCCTTTTGCCAACTTCCCCATGTAATCGTTGTCCTTCTATCCAATATAAGCAGCTGGCTTATAGTGGGGGGCAGAGCAGATTTTTATGGATGACCTGCTGATCTCCCATACTGCTGGCAGTATTGGAAAAAACACGCATATGAAAAAACACCCTGTCTCTGCTTCATTGGCTCAAGTAGCAACAGGCAACCCGGACCCATTGGTTGTCTCATTACACTTTCATTACATCTGCAGGCAGATTCTCCAGCAACAAGCACTCCCTGCATCCTTCCCTGGGCCAGCCTGTGGCTGTGAGAGAAGCAGGCCTATTATCCTGGCCCTTAGGTACCTTACAGTCCAGGAGGGGAGAAATGGTCACGTAGGATTATTCATTTGCTTGAAAGAAAAGAACAGGTGATAGAATTTATCAGGGAAACACATTTGAGGAGGTGACATTTAAGCTGAGACCTGAAGAATATGATTTTGCCAGCAACAAAAAGGTTAGATGAGGGTTTCGGGCAAAGGGGACAGCACGTGCAGAAGCAGTAGCAGTAACAGTCCCCAATTACATTCAGAAGGGCCTCACTGGCAGCAATGTGGCTCTGAGCAGTGCAGTTAGAAGCTATTTTTTGCATAGCATTTTACTTAAGATTTATAGACCATCAATTGTGCATATGAAATGACTTGGGGTTGATGCCTATTAGATAGGAGATAAAGCCCCCAAATCTCCCCTTGTGCTTCTACCATGCAGGAGCCTTGAGGTAGGCCTGGCTCATCTGAAGACCCAGAAGAAGGCAATGCAGCCACAGCATAACTCTAAGGGGAAACTGGCTGACGCTGTAGCTCAGAATTTACCAGTAGGCAGAGCCAAGGAGGTCTTGTAGGGAAGGCTATAAATTTTTAACATTACCTTCACTGCAATGGGAAGCCATTAAGCCGGGGAGCAGTAACAAGATCTGACTTTCAGCTTAAGAAGATCACCTGGGTTTCTTAATCGAAGGGGATTGCCAGGGACAAGGAGCTGACATCTGTTGAGCTCCTGGGCCTGTCCCTGAATAACACTCATGCTATTGTGGAGGGCATACTCACTTAATTCTCACCACAGCCCCCCAAAGAGGGTGCTATTAAGTTTACCAGTGAAGAAATAGAGTCCCTTTAAGAAGCAAGGTAAGGATGCAATTTGTTTTATTATTGTGCAGTTAATGCATGGGGCAAACTATACATCCAATAAAATTATAATGATTGTTTTATCATAAAGTTCTGTAGGTGGGTGATTATCATATTCAGAATGCAGTGACCATGGAAGGGTTAATATGTGTTTTTGCAGCAAGAAAGTACCTGACCCTGGCTGCTGATCTGAGAGATAATGAATACAGCCATGTTTGGTTGAAGCTATTATAGCATTTTGCTCTTAAAACCTCTCTTATCATTGTTAAATGTGCAAAAGACCTCTTTTCACTGTTTTCATCTTTTTGTCAGGTTGTTTTCCAGGAAGTGGTTGCTAGGAGTGCAAGAGTTATTTAGAGATAAGTGGAGCCTAGATATCCCATCCCCTTAAAAAGTACACCTCCCCCCAAATAAAAACCTACAGTAATTGACTTGAAAATTATTTTCCTGACATTGGTTTTACCAGTCCACCTGCTTTCTATTTACACTTATGATTATCTCCTTTTGCTAATGGCTCTCTAAAAGCACACACTAAGGTTTGCACCACTGTACTGTCCTGGAGACTGAAAGAGGAGTCCGACTGAGGAGCTCTTTAGAGCCAACAGCTGCTTCGAAAGGCAGTGAGCATGTGCGTGCTAAATGGCCACTGAGCCCCCTGCAGTGGGTCTGAGTGCCAGCCGGCCAGTGTATGAATTACCTGCACACATGGTTGCCTTATATTCTGATCATGTCTGCCCCTGGGGAAAACCCCACTGAGGCTGACATTATACCAACCAGGTTACAGTGAGACTGTCCCACACACTGGAACAAGTTCCTGCCCAGGCTCTGAGGTTCTTGGTTGTACATATCCTCCCATTGCCCCTTCTCGATCCATCCCTTACAGTATCTTTAATTATTAATCTAAAGGTGCATGTACCCTTTATTGCTCTTGCAAAACTGCCATATGCTAGGCGTTTATAGCTTTTGTCTAGTCACTGGATTTACAACATACTTTAACCTGTTTGATATTTCTAGTGTGTCACCTTGAAAGTAATGCCATAGTATCTGTTGGAAAAGCAATAGACATGAGAATTCATCAGCAAGTGTCAACTAATCTCCAGATAAAAGCCATAACTGCATGTAACCCGTGCTCAGAATCACACTTGGGGCTCAGACAACACCTTTGAGGTCCCTTAACTCTAGCCTCCATTTTACAGGTGAGGGAACAGAGGCACTGACAAATCAAGACTCTTGCCCAGGTCAACCTGGTAGGGCAGCGGCCGCCAACCAGTGGTCCGCAGACTACTGGTGGTCCGTGAGGTCCAAAAGGTTGGTGACCATTGTGCTAGGGAATGGCTAGCCTGGAGCTGGAACCCAATTGTCTGAATCTCAGTTCTTAAAGCCTTAGAGATCTATATATATTATTAAATTTTTTAAAATGTATTTTTATTGATTTCAGAGAGGAAGGAAGAGGGAGAGATAGATAGAAACAAAAATGATGAGAGAGAATCATTGATCAGCTGCCTTCTGTATGCCCCCTCACCCCCACTGGTGATCAAACCCACATCCTGGGCAATGTGCCCTGACTGGAAATTGAACTATGACCTTCTTGTTCATAGTTCAGTGCTTAACCACTGAGCCATGCCAGCCATGCTACATTCTTAAACATTTAAGTAAACAAATTTAGTCTTCAGAAATGGACTTAAAATTTATTGAATTTCTCACTGGGCAAGGACTTGATTTTCCTCTCAACATCTGTGCAGACTCTAGAAAGTTACACACTTGAGGCACTTACCTTGGCCTACTTCACAAGTAGTGAGAAAAAAACTACAATTATGAAGGACAAAGTTTATCTCCATCTTTGTTCCACATCCCCTTGTCTTCTGTAGTATTGCATTAGGTTTCATGTATCTTAAAATATGTATTCCAATTGGTTCATACACTCTTTTTTTTAATTTTTTTTAAATGATTCTCATTCTTACTTTAGTACATTCATTATGTCTATACTGGTTAATTCCTGCACTCTTTCTTCTTATTTATTTATTTATTTATTTATTTATTTATTCATTATTACATTTTTATTGATTTTCCACAGAGAGGAAGGGAGAAGAATAGAGAGCTAGAAACATCGATGAGAGAGAAACATCCACCAGCTGCCTCCTGCACACCCCTGACAGGGAATGTGGCTGCAACCTATGTACATGCCCCTGACCGGAATGGAACCTGGGACCATTCAGTCTGCAGACCGACACTCTATCCACTGAGCCAAACCGGTTTCGGCTGGTTCATACACTCTTGACCTTACATGTTTACAATTTAGGACAACCCCTCATGTCTAAACTTTTGCTACTCATTTTCTCCTCTGCCTACATAAGCTTACCTCTACTCATTAAACTCTTAGCTCCTTCTCTCAGGGAGGATATTAGCAAAGCTCATGTGCTAATAATCAACACCAACGTTCTCTTTTCACCTATCATGAGATAAACCCCCGTTAAAATACAACGTTAGCTAGGAGGTAAAAATCCATGAAAGAAAAAAAAAAAAATCCATGAAGGCAGTACAGTGTGAAGGCAGTACAATCTACTGGAATTAAAATCCAAACCCATCTCTCTCCAAATTTTAAGCATTTCCCTTTGTATCACGCCTCTTGCAGTAGAAATGTAATGACAGTAGTGTTCAATACCAACGAGAGCTAATATAGACCAAGACTACGGATGTCTCTGGATACTTTTTCTACCTGGAACACATGGGTCAGTGGCCTTGTGACTGTAATATTAAATAAAGGTTGGATTATGAAGACATCTTTTTCTTGACTTAATTACATTGGTCAACTTCAGAGTTAGCTGTGACTTAAGAACAGCTAGTCAGAAATGGCATTCAATCGAAAAAGCATAAAATGTGTTTACTTGAATTCATGAATTCAAATATTTTGGCAACACACTTTTAGGTAAATGGCAAGTTACTAAAATGTTGGACAGATTATTTAACATTTCTGTGTCAATTTTCACACCTGCAAAATGAGATTGTACCTACTTGCCCATCTTAAATGGCTGTTACGAGGTTAACAGCTATTACCAGGGTAAAAGGGCTGTTACGTAAGAAATTGCAAAGCACTGTGAAGATGTAAGATGTGGACCTTGAAAGGTCACTGGAATTTGATATGTAAAGAAAGAGGCTTAGGACACACATGGTGATAAGAATGGCATAGCAAAAACTCCCAGGAGGAAAGTTGGTTGGGTAAAGAAAAATTTATCATTTTGGCAGGAATGAAGAATAGTAAGTTAAAGTCCAAACGCTAACCAATCAGTCTAATTTAACAGAAGAGCAAAGCTGGTTGTCTTAATATGGCTCATTTTTTTTTTTAATTTTAAAAAGTACATTTTTATTTGATCTTGCCACAGGATTGATTTATTTACCTTCCATGTCTCTGAATACATTCTATAATTAAACCAACTTTACAATATTTAATACCTTTGTAAAATTTCCATTAAATTTTGTAATTTTATGAAATTTACCATAATTTAGCACATATAGCAATTTATTTTAAAGACCATTATTTTACTAAAGAGAGTTGAAAAGCTTATAAAATTCATTTAATAGAATCTCTTTATGCAGGATAACCAGGGGGACCAGGAGAAGGTATATAGGAATAAGTTCTTATCAGTGAATTAAATTTATTAATGTAGTATATTTTGCATCTGTTCACACTTCCAAAAGACTTAATTATGTAGCTTGTGATAAAAAAAAGTATAAATGGATAGGTAGCTATATATATAGTTTAGATAGATAGATAGATAGATAGATAGACAGACAGACAGACAGACAGACAGACGGACATTGGACTTTGCCTGGACGTAAAGGATGCCGCCCCCCCCTTTTTGTCCTTTCCCATCTTTCCTTGGAAGCATTTCCTTGACCGAACAGACTCCAGGGACGGTCCCCAACTGCCTTGGTTTCAGTAATGGAAACGTATTCCTTCCCTGTCATCTTTTCTCTTTCCTCCACCTGCTATAAGATCCATGTGTTTGGGGGGGGGGGGGGGGAGCGGCTGCTGTGTTGTTTTTGACGCGTCTCACGGGAAGAAAGTCCAACTCCAACTTATTGGAGCCTCATCTTTCCCTAAAATATTACAACCTGTTCTTCTTTACTCAACTTGCCAATGGAGCCTCTCATTAGGGACATTACTCCCAGAGATTTTTATGGTCCTTGTGGCATTTTTACATCGATAAACATGTCTCTTAAAGGCATTTGTCCAATGGTTCAAAAGAAATGAGGGCAAAGGCCACATTTAGCTTGAGGGTGTGTCATTGCCAACTTTATTATTAATTAGCTATGTGACCCTTATTAACTTATAATTTCTATAGCCATAAAGTTTAGCAATTGATACCATCCCAAACAGCAACATTACAAAGACAAATAACTTTTTTTTTTTTAATACTCATCTAAGGATATTTTTTCCATTGCTTTTTAGAGAGTGTAATGGAGGGAGGCAGGAGAGAAGAGGAAAGAGGGAGGGAGGAAGGAAGAGGGAGGGAGGGAGAGGGATAAGGAAAAAGAGAGAAACATCAATGTCCCGCATTGACTCATTAACTGGTTGCCTCCTGCACAAGGTCCGACTGGGAATGGAGAGTGAACCTGCAACCCAGGTACATGCCTTGATCAAGGATCAAACTCAAAAACTTTTGGTAGGTGGGCTAATGCTTTACCACTGAGCTACACGGGCCAGGGCATAAATAGCTGTTTAACTTCAAAGGAAAGAAGGATATACATATAGATCCTCATTCGAGGATGATTTTTTATTAATTTTTGAGAGTGAGAGAGACATCAATGTGAGAAAGAAACATTGCTTGGTTGCCTCCCCCCATGTACCGTGACTGGGGATTGAAGCAACCTAGGTATGTGCCCTGACCGGGAATTGAACCTGTAACCCTATGGTGCATGGGTTGACACTCGAACCTACTGAGCAACCAGCCAAGCCTGGAAGCATATATTTTATGTTCATATTTGTTTATTGAAAGAATTACTTACATATTTATGTTTATAAATACAGCCAAGAACCAAGTAATTTTTTCTACAAGTTTGATTTAAATATTAGTCATTCTTACCTTTTGTAAAGTCTTCAGTTCAAGGATAGTGTCTGTTGGTTGCACTCTTGAAATATATTTCTAGGGTAGCTACACTGCTTACAGCGTTGGCTAGGCAAAATTAAATAAAGTTTACAAGGAAACTTAAAATTGAATATTGTATTTGTAATATTTTCTACACTTATGTTAGAGAAAAATAATGGCTTTTAAAATAATAAAACTTTTTCAAACATAGAGGAAAAGAGAGAATATAACAAACATCTATAATCAATTACCCAGGTGCCATATTTGCTTCAGATTGTTTTTAAAAAAATCAATCAATACAGATGAAGCTCTCTGTATACATGTATGTCTTCAATCCCATTCGGCATTGTACATACACAAAGATAATTACCAAACACTGAATTTGATGTTTTCATTTCTTTGCACATTTGAAACTTTTAAACCATATGTGTATAAATCTATAAATAATATATTGTTTTGCATGCTTTACCATTTTATAATCCTGGTATCATACTATACACATCAATATTTAACTTTTCTTCAGTGTTTTTGAGACTTATCTACTTTAATACATGATACTGGGGATCATTGATTTTAAATAATTTGTTATCCCACTCTATGGAAGTATCACATTATTTTATTCTATTCTCCTGCTCAATTTAAGCTGTTTCTACTATCTGGGCTGCATACAAATAAAATTCTGCCTTACAACACACCACCACATGGCATTGCTACTGTGAGATGCAGCTCTATCATGAATCATGAGTCAACATTTCTGTTGTGGAGCTGCTCATTGCGACTTGTAACTGGACAGAGGGAATCACATGCTGACTGTAAATGTCAGATGCTTGAAAAGTAAAGACAGAGTTTGAAGGAATCCAAGCTATACAGACGATGAATATTGATTCCCTTTTACCCCAGAACATCAAAACACGTTATTGTGGACTGGGTGCTTTTTTTCAGATGTCTGAGTTTAGCTCTATAAATAATGTTTTCAGTGGAGGTTAGTAATTGGTTCCTGCATTGGTAATTTGATCTTACCTTTGGATGAACATAAACGGACAAAAGTCCAGGCTCATTTTTCTTTTTCAGGGTTTAAAAATATGACAAATGCCAGATGTTGAACCAATATTAGATTTCACAGCGTAATGCCCATACAGCATAATTGATATAGAGCTCATACCTCAAACCATTGCAAATTTTCCCCAATTAAAATGTCCAAATATGTATGACATATTGAAATATCAATCTAACATCTCTTACCTAACATTTGGTTTTAATCAATCCTGAAAGAGGTCTACTCTGACTATTCGCTCAGTAGTATTAAGTTTCAACCGCTCTGGAGGTCTACCGCCTATCTTTCAGAGTTCTCTTTGTAATCCATACTAGTTTCAGGGCTGCTAAGTCTTCTTCACTGAGTTGGATGATACATTGGTCAAGGTAAGTCAAGTCATCTGATGGTAATAACCCCCAAGTTAAAATACTTAGGTGTCTCTCACTTCATGCTGTCAGTCACAGTTATCTTCAGCTTTGTGCCATCGTCCTCGCATCCAGCTGAAGGGCATCCTCTTGGTGGGACATGCTGTTTTTGCTGCAAAAGAAAAATATGACAGAACCAAGCAATTACTCTTAAAGTTTATGCTCAGCAGTGGTATATATCACTTACTCATTTCGTTGAACAAATGACGGCATAAGGCCAACCCTGCCATTCAACAAGGTGAGGAGGTAAAATCCTACCACCGGGAGGGACAAAATTATTTGGGAACAATAATACAATCTACCACAGAGGCTTTCATTCTCAGACAGGTATGGTTTTGACTTTTGGATTATCCTATGTAATCCTATATAATAAAAGCATAATATGCTAAGCATCCAACTGATCAGTCAACCATTCAGTCAATTGTTCAACCAGTTGCTATGATGCGCATTAACCACCAGGGGCCAGGCGCTCTGACCAGTAGGTTAGCTTGCTGCTGGGGTCTGGTCAGTCAGGACTGGGTGAGAGAGCTGGACATGCCTGCAACCCTCTCATAGTCCCTCCCCAGCCTGCTGGCCCCCATTGGCCCTGATCTGGACTGGTTGAGAAGGCTCCGATTGGCCCTGATTGCCAGCCAGGCCAAGGGACCTACTGGCAATCATGCACTGGGCCTCTAGTTTACAAAATAAAATATTTTTAAGTTTTGCTAATATACAAGTAAGTCTGTCTTATCTCTGGAATACGGGTCAGTTCAATTTAATGCTTTATATGAATTAAACACACACACACACACACACACACACACATACACACACACACACACCCCAAAAACAAGCCCTAGCCGGTTTGGCTCAGTAAATAGAGCCTCGGCTGAGGACTGAATGGTCCCAGGTTCAATTACAGCTAAGGGCACATGCTCTGGTTGTGGGCTCGATCCCCAGTGTGGGGCGTGCAGGAGGCAGCCAATTCATGACTCTGTCATCATTGATATTTCTCTCTCCTCCCTTTCTCTCTGAAATCAATAATGAAATATATTTAAAAACAAAAACAAAAAACACCAAATCTAGAATTAAAATCACTTTGAAAAGAATCAATAACTATCTGGAGGCTCAATACACATAATTTTGATCTAAGTATAAACAATATTAACATAAACTGAGCTAATTGAAATATTTACTGTATCACTCTGAAGGAAAAATAACTGATTAACTGATTTCTACCTCACTCCTATTCCAGCTAAGAGGGGATCCCTCAAAAAGAATTTCATGTATTTTATTTTAAAAATTTTTTTTTATTGATTTCAGAGAGTAAGGGAGGTGAGAGAGATAGAAAAATCAATGATGAAAGAATCATTAGCCAAAACCGGTTTGGCTCAGTGGATAGAGCACTTGGGCTGCAGACTGAGAGGTCCCAGGTTTGATTCCAGTCAAGGGCATGTATCTTGTTTATGGGCACATCCCCAATGCGGGGTGTGCAGGAGGCAGTTGATAGATGTTTCTCTTTCATCAATGTTTCTAATTCTCTCTCTCCCTTCCTCTCTGTAAAAAATCAATATATTAAAAAAAAAGAAAAAGAAAAAAGAAGAATCATTGATGGGCTGCCTCCTGCACACCCGACACTGGGGATCAAGCCCACAATCTGGGCATGTGTCCTGACCAGGAATCAAACTGTGACCTCCTGGTTCGACGCTCAACCACTGAACCATGTCAGCTGGGCATAGTTAGTATTTTAAATGAGAACATTCAAATAGTTTCTTCAAATTTGATGAAAATCTCTCTCACCATTTTTGTGTAATGTCACAGGGAACAGAGATTTAATTTATATAGGTAGCAAATAAATTTTTTAAAAGATTTAATGGTATATGACATATGTATTTAAGGTCAGTTTTTTGTTGTTGATTTTTGCTGGCAATTCTTCTTCCTTTAGTACTTTTAAAAAGTTATTTGTCAATAGCTGGTACCTGGGCCAGCTTTGCTTAATCTAACTGCTTTTGCAGCAGTCTCTATTTCAAGATACTTTGTAAATTCTAAATATGAAGTAAATAATCTCATTTTGGGAAGCTAGTTTCTTTTTAAGTGAGATTTCATGATTAGAGGTTTTAAAACCATTTCCAGTTTGGCTTTTCGGTAATAGACCTGACAACAAATCACACTGCACAACAAAATGTATTCACTTAGAGAATTGTGAAAGTAATTATTATCATTGCTATTATTATTGCTGTTAATAATCATTTTATAGCTAACAGAGGGCTACTGTCATTGTTCTAAGTGCTTTACAGGTGTTGATTCATTTCATCTTCACAAGAACTCATGAGATGAGATACCAATATTGTCCCCATTTTACAGAAGAGGGATTTATAACACTTATTTTAATGCAAATCTAAATTCAGCTTTGGAAAAATACGTCGTGTTTGGCAGGGTTTATCAGTGAGGCTAGGAAGTTGGCCAGTTCAAGCAGGAAACCAACAGCAGAAAGGGAAGTAGTAGCAGAAGCTTGTTTAGAGGCTTCTTACTCTCTTCTTTAAATAGAAGAATTTCAAACAAACAAAAAACTTCAGACAATTCTGATGTTAATCAAAAGAGAATTATTGTCTATTTAGCTCTAAGTTAACAAGTCACCTTTTAGTTTTCGTGAAGGGCAAGATCTGGAACTTACATATAGGTTACGTTATGATCTTGAGACATTAGCCATTTTTTAATCTTCAAAAGTACATAGAAGCTCAGGAACGGTGCTTCTAGTTAGAAGAGAAACGAAGTGGGTGCATTCCAGCCTCTCCTGGGATGGCCAATTGCCTTCCCAATGACTGCGATCTCACAACCCGTTGCAGGTTAGCTGCCCTTAATCTAGTAGCAAAGAGGAAGTCTGAGAGTAGCTCTTAGGACCCAGCCACATGCTAATCTGGAGAGCCACTTTCTATTTGTAGATATCTTGGTGGACTATTGCACGTGTAACAAATGTTTTTATAGGGCTATCTTTTGTTTTATATGATGATACGATTGAGTAGGTGAATAATTAACCTCATGGAAATTAACTGCAATTCATAGTTCCAAAGTTGTACTTATAAAAAACAATTAGTAAAGATTAAAAAAAATTGTAGATGAAGAATCAAATGAAAGCACTGAGTCACATTTTTATTCTACTTATGGTAATCTCAATTTGCTGTCCATAACTTTTTCGTTGGTCTTCTCAAAGGAGGGGTTACATTTCATCAGACTCAAGTTTTTCTAAATGTTGGGAGTAATGTCTGTTTATTCTCACCAGTTTATTTTTGAAAGGAGAAACTCTAGAAAACAAGCTATTATAAGGTTTGCTTTTTATGTATAAGTATCTATAAAGTTATTTAAGTCTTTAATTGTTGGAAAGAATTTTCATAGAAAAATTAGAGAAACTGAGAAAAAAGAACAGGGAGGAAAATAACAACTGGATATGTCAGTAACCTGAATGTGGTTGAATGTACCCACAAAATGAATTAAAAAATAGTTATACCTAAAAGATGGGAGAATATTCAGATTTATGTCATTGATGAAAGGTTAGGCAGAGGTAGTATTTATCTTTCTTACAAAATTTGATGTTCCTTTTCATGAGTATATTATTATTTCCATTCTTGTCAAACTTTAGTGATAGTAACATGAAGTAGCAATAAAAGGCCTTTAAATAAATTTCAATTATCTTCCCCTTTTTTTTTTTTTTTTTTTTTTTATGTGATTAAGTGATTTACACAATTGCTTTTTCCACGTTCTTCTGGTTAAGCAGCAGGTGGAGCCCTAGTAGGTGTGGTTAGAGATCAGGCCCCAAGACTGAAGGAGGTGAGGTAACTTGATCCTGCCCGGGTGCTTACAGGAGGCAACCACATTGATGTTTCTCTCCCACTGACTCTCTCTCTCTCAAAAACAAAATAAAATTTTTTTTTTAATGGAAAAAAATATCCTGGCCCAGTTGGGGTAGCTCTGAGGTTAAGCGTTGACCTATGAACCAGGAGGATTCAGGCCGGTTCCCATCAGGGAACATACCCAGGTTACAGGCTCCATCCTCAGGGTGGGACATGCAGGAGGCAGAAGATCAATGATTCTCACTATTGATGCTTCTACGTCTCTCTTCCTCTCTGAAATCAATTAAAATATATGAGGATTAACAGGAGCAACAAAAAAAGAGCAGACAGAAAGAACTTAAACATGGTAAGACTGGGACATGCCATGGGTCACACATCCTGTAGGGACAGCCAGATTTCCTAATTATTAGTCTGGTGCAATAGTATAAGATTCATTAGCTTTCTATGGTAAACCTGGTGATTAGTTCATGATTCGCCTGACACACACCCTTCCGGTTTCATAAAAATCATCTCATTAACCTTTGGGGATCTATGCATTTAAACCTGCTTGTTTCAAGAAATCATCTCTGGCCCTGGCTGGTGTTGCTCAGAGGATAGAGCCTCAGCCTGAGGACTCAATGGTCCCAGGTTTGATTCCGGTCAAAGGCATGTACCTTGGTTGCAGGCACATACCCAGTAGCAGGTGTGCAGGAGGCAGCTGATAGATGTTTCTCTCTCATCGATGTTTCTCTCTATCCCTCTCCCTTCCTCTCTGTAGGAAATCAATAAATATATTAAAAGAGAAAAAAGAAACCATCTCTGGCCCTCGCTGGTGTTGCTCAGTGGATAGCGCACGGGCTTCCGGACTGAAGGGTCAAGGGCACAGGCCAGAGTTGTGGGCTCAGTCCCCAGGAGGGATCATGCAGGAGGCAGTCGATCCAGGAATTCTCTCTCATCGTTGAGGTTTCTCTCTGTCCCTCTTCCTTCCTCTCTGAAATCAATAAAAATGTATTTTTAAAAATTCATCTTAAAAAAAAAGTCTAAAAATATGTTTAGATGGTTGAGCGGAGGGAATGTATAGGCTCCGTGAGGCCCTCAGAGCTCCGGATCCCGGGCTGTTCTGCTGCAGGACAGGCGGACCCGGTGGGACCCGGCTGAGCCCACGGAGGGAACCAGAACCCGGAGGCTTCTATTCGAAAGGGACGAAGCGGCTTTTAAAACAGAAAAGCGTCATTCTCTCAAGCCAGCGAGTGTCAAGGAGGTCGCTGCTGTTCAGAAATACTTTTTGGAGATACCGGTGTACATTCTTTAAAAAAAAAAAAAATAAAAGTCATTTGGACCAGGATGGCAGCCGCCTTCGGGGGCGGCCCCCCTCGCCGTCCGCCCGGGCCGACCGGCCTCGCCGCAGAACAGAGGATTTGGCTCATTTTTTCCAAAACACTTCCCAGCTGGGGAGTCGCCAGCCATGGAAACTTCCAGCAAATGCCACATTTGGGAGAGGGACCTGGTTCGTCGGGGGGCTGCCTTCGCGGGGCCGCGGCCCTCGGAGAGTCGCCGCACGCCCTTACTCGTCGCCGGGTCCCGCCGCCGGCCGGGCCCACCGGCTACCGGCCCCTCGCGCCCACCCGGTCTCCGAGCCCGCGAGTCTCCTCCGCTTCATCCATGACGACTCCCGGGCCCTCGGCTCCACAGCAGAGCAGCCTCGGGGTGCGCGCAGCGAGAGGGCGGGGGCGGCTCCGAGGCCGGCCGGGCTCCCAGCTTCACGCCTCCATTCCGCTCCTCTCCCCGCCTCCAGCCGCTCCGCCGCCGCCAGTGTGCGCACCGCACGCTGAGGGGAGTTTGACGGCTCCAGCTCCCAGTCAGAAGAGAGGTCTGGAATTTTTAACCAATAGGAGCTGACAAGGTGGGCGTGCCCTCGGCGCGGTCCCGCCCCCGGGGAGGGAGCGCGCTATGTCCCCGGCCCCCGCCTGCACTTCAGCCTCAGTGCGCAGCCCTCGCCGGTGGGAGCAGCAGCAGCGGAGCCGGAGGCGGCCGAGTCGGTCTCGGAGGCGGCGGCCGCGGAGCGCCAACCCCACCCACGCCCACGTCGCGGGCCCTGTCCTCACTTGTCCTCTCGCCGCCCCGCGGGAGGACGGTCCCGGGAGAAGAGCGGCCGCCCACGCCCCGAGCATCTTTCCCCGTCGAGCCGGCGCGGGCTGAGCGGGCGGCATGATGCGGCTCCGAGGGTCGGCTCTGCTGCGGGACCTCCTGAGGCCGCCCGCCGCCGCCGCCAGCGCGGCCCTGAGGCGGGCGCAGCCCCTCGCCACGTTCCACCGGCGAGCCTGGGGTGGGGGGCCCGTGGCCGCGGGCTCCGCTGCCGCCGCGCGGCTCTGCCCGCGGTGGGGCGGGGGCGGCCGGCTGGCGGGGCCCGGCGCCCGGGGCCTGTCCAGCTCGCCCTCCGAGATCCTGCGGGAGCTGGGCAAGGCGGGCGCGCAGCAGCCGCAAGACCCGCAGCCGCAGGACCCTCAGCCCGGGGCGTCGCCGCCCGCCGCCCCGCCGGCGCCCGGCCCCAAGGACGGCCCCGCGGACACGGACGCGTTCGGCCACGGCGAGGCCAAGGAGCTAGCGGCCTCCGGCGAGAGGTGAGTGTCTCCGCGAGGCGGGGCCCGCGGCCGGGCGCGGCCGGTTGCGGGGCGGGATGGGCGCGGAGACCGGCGGAAGAGAAAGAAAGAGATGCCGGGCGGCCTGCGCCGTCTGCGCCATGTGATTAGGCCCGGCCGCGCCCCAGCCGCCGCCGCCCGCGCCCCTTCGCGGGCCCCCACTTCCCTTCCCGGCCGGGCGCCGGCCGGCCGGCCGCCCGCCCGCCCGCGGGGAGCCGCCGAGGGGCCGGGGGCATGGCCTGGCGCTGCGTGTCCGCGCCCCCCGCTGGGGCTGCAGCACCCGGGCTCCCGCCCAGGCTTCGCGATTGATGCCCCCGGACATCCCCGCCGGCTGACATTCAGGAGCCGGGCGTGGGACGAAGCCCAGCTCCTCCCGGACTCGTCGCTTTTCCAGGCTCCAGTGTCCTCCGCCTGCCCTCCTCCCATCGCTGCCTCCATCTCTCTGGAAACCTAAGGTGGCCGAGCATTCTCGCTGTTTCCAGAGTGGAAATATTCAGGTCTGCGTAGAGCCATCTGGGGCGCCGGAAATAAGGTTTCCGAAAGGAGATTAGGGGCAAGAGGGTCATGTGGCCTAGGAGCCGGGGCTCGCGGTCCGGACCACCTGTTCGCCCTGGGGACCACCGGCGTTGGCCTGCCGGATGCGCTGCATGAGATGGGCGAGGTTTTTTTTTTTTTTTTTGGTTTTTCTTAAGGTTAGAGTAAGGAAGACGACATTTGGCCGGTAAAACACTAACTGAAAAATTAAAACAGTGATAGGATGTGAGCTCATCTATACCGCACAGCCATTTAGTCTTCAAATAAACCTGGTTTTCCTTTCCCTGTTTGGGAAGCAGTTCCCCGGGTATTTTGTCCTGTGTAACAGAAGTGGACACAACCCGTGTTTTCTTCATGCCCTGCTATTTTTCTAATACTGTACTGACATTATCTCCAGCCCCATACTACCTTAAGTCAAACTGAAAGTGTGATTCTTAATCCTTTCCATCTCAGGTCAGCTTAATGTTTCCTGTAATGGAAGCAGGCACCTTCTTAAAACATTCCAAGCTAAAGTTGTTTTCCCAAACTGGAAGAAAAATGTTATTTATTTATTTATTTTAAATCACTTGATGATGGGCAAAGTCTGGTATTTCATGATGATGACGTGCTACAGAGTAGCCTTAGGACCTTGGGCACATCATTTAATACCTTCAGTTAGATGACTCACATCCCTTCAAGATCTAAAAAGCTAGACTTTTGTTAAATTTCCACCTCTTTGTGGTTTTTTTTTTTAAGGGACTAGAATGGGTATGCTTAATCTCATGTTACCTTTATCATCTGGTTTACCAGACGTGTAACTACTTTAAATAGTTGTACTCAAAGTCACAGAATGGCAAAATGCAATTACTGGCATTTAAAATGGTATATAATACCATTAACTTTGAAACCCTGGCAATGACTGAAACCCTATTTTGACTAATACCTACTGACAACCCCTTCGCAAATGTCCTCCTAGTCTCCCCAGACCTCAGAGAAAATCCGCCTGGGCTAGGGATCCATCAAGATTATTTGCTCAGATGCCCTGGAGTTTGAGTGATCAGTAAGAGAGTCTTGTTTACCTCATTTAAAAGTTTGGAGAAATAGGCTAGACTGGTTCAGGTACTATAGTTACAGGCATACCTTGCAGACCACTGTAATAAAGCAAATGTTGCACTAACAAGCAAGTTCTAATCTTTTCGTTGGTCAAGAAATCTTTTCTTGCCTTCAGTTTGTAAAAACAAAACAAAAGCAGCACCACCTCAATACCTAGTGCAATAAAGCTAAATGCAATAAAGTGAGGTATGCCTAGATCCTGATAGTTTTCCAATCAAGGATTTCAAGAGTGAATGCCAGCTGTCTCCAGTTTACATTTAAAGTGAAGAGCACTGGCTTGAGATCGTGGAAAAGATTTTTTTTTTTTTTTATCTAGTTAAAGATCCTTTTTTCTGAATGTTCTGGTTTCCAGTTGTAGCTTTCCTCCTTTCCCTTTGCCTTATTCTGGGAGGCTTCCCATTGATTTTGTTATCCTTTCTGGTGCTCAGCTTCCAAAGCATAGGTCATCCTTCCAGCCGCAAACCACCTGGAATGCCAGTCCTCACTCAGGACTGCCAGGTTTTATGGAGGGTTATTAAAAGAAATAGCCAAGTGAAAAGCGAGTTAACGTTTTGTAAAGGGCTTCCTTAGAACAGTGTTTGGCATGTGTTGTATACAACATAACTGTTTATTCAACAGAATGAAATTGCTTGTTCATTGTACAACCTGACAAGGACATTGGCCTTTGAATTTTAGGACTACTCTTAAATATCTCATGGAAAATGGAATGATCTTTGCTCAGTTTTCCAAGTAGTGCTCTTATTTAATTGTTTCTGTCATTCTCTTATTTTGAAAACTACTTTACTTGGCTCTCGTTTTTTAAGTTGTTGCTTGCTTTCCTGCCTCTCAGGGTTTGCTCCCTGGGTAAGCCCTGAGCCTGGGGCCTTGGCTGCTTTGCTGTTTGTCTACCTTCTCAAGAACATACCCTTTTCTCAGCTTTGACACATCATTTTCGTGTAGGTAATTCCATCTCTCCTCCAAGCTGTTCTCTCACATTTACCTCCACAGAGCAGACAACCTCGCATCCATTCTTTTGTCTCATTTCAACCTATTTTGCATACTGTTTCGAGAATAATTATAGACTTTTAATTTAAAAAAGTCACTGTCCTTTCAGAAAACCAATATGGACTGGAATGAGTGTTAAAAGTCACAGAGCATGCTATCGTATTAAAGATTCTTCATTAACCTTTATACCAATGCTTGTTCTACGTGGTCATTTTTATCACAGTGTTTCTTTGTCAAGCGTGCCATGCTTCGTTTCTATGAAGCCTAGAAGTGTGTATATTCTAGGTCCCTGGGAAGGATTTGCAAGTGAGAACAGGGCATTTTAAGTTACTTTTTGTTGAGCAATTTATTTTTTAATTAGAAAGGAAAAGAGATATAACAGAAGGACCAGGCTGGGAAAATATCACAAGTATGCTCTTTAGAAAATAGGTAATTCAGACAGGGTACAACTTTGAAAGTATTCCATTAAAATACCAGTGAGATCATTTTTACTCTATCAGATTGGCAGACTTGTTAAGTTAAATCAAGTGATGCAAAGATTATGGGAAGTAGGAACTCTTATGTTGCTGGTAGAAGTATAAATTAGTTCAGCTATTTTAGGAGGGCAGTTTGGTAGTATCTTGTTAAAAATTACGTACCTATGTGCAATAATTGCATGTTTGCTCATCTATACAAAGTCACGGCACTTCAAAAATATTTTAAAAATTGGAATAATTAAAAATACTATATTAAAAAGTGAAAGTGACAGCAAAAGTGATTTCCTCTATCTTCAGATACTGTGATTTTATTTTGGAAATTCATATTTAAAAAAAAAAATGTTTGATTTCAGAGAGAAACATCAATGATGAGGGAGAATCATTGATTGGTTGTCTCCTGCACGCCCCCTACTGGGGAACAAGCCAGCATCCTGGACCTGTGCCCTGACCAGAATCAGACAGAGATCTGGTTTATAGGTAGCTGCCCAACCATCGAGCAACACTGGCCAGGCTGGAAGTTCATATTTTTAATAAATGGAAAGCAAAGGCCCTAGGATCATAATATTCTATTGAGGATTGAATTTCAAAGTAAGGTTAAATACTTATGCATTGAATAAACATTGAATTAGGTCTATAGAACAATACTGATAATAAAGTTGAGATGATATTTAGCAGATATAGATAATATATTTTGGAATTTTAAAAAACCATCTGTTGACATAGATGACAAATTCTATTATGATCGTTTAATTATTTGCTTTTTTTGTAAAAGGGAACATATTTTCAGTTCACAAGCTAAAATCAAATTGAAAGTACAGTTAATTTTGAGATTAAATATTTTTTTCATTGAACCTCAGTCATTTTATTTGTGATTTATTATACTAAAAATTTTTACTGGTTATCAGTGAGCTTAAGTTTTGTTTTAATGGCATCATCACATATAACATTTTTTGCTGCCTAATGTTTACATTAAACCACACATCCAGTTAGCCATGGATATATCAGTATACGATCTGTAATTAACAAACTACATGTTACTAATTAATGTTTAGGTGAAGTTCACTGATAGAGAGCATGAATTAGACCCTGAAATTTAGTTTCCTTGAATTTTAACTTCTAGTTTCCAGGCTTGACTGTTTTACAGAGATTCTGTGTACTTCAGAATCAAGTAATTCATGATAGGACTACCAAATAGAATTTAATCTTTGTGTGTGTG